CCACCCTCAGCCTCTCGCTCTTTCATTCTCTTTCTTTTCCTCTCGCGCGAAAGACTCACCTGCCACAGGGATGCCAAGCAGAGGGTCAAGCTTGATCGCCTTCCAAACGTATTTCCAGTTGGTTCCCGTAATTACCCGCCTACGTGGCCGCGGACACGCTTGCAACGGGGAGGATGCTGCGGGTAGGAGATCCGCTCCGTAACGCGGCTGCGTGATGCACCGTGATGCAGCGCGTCGGATGAAGCACGGACCTCTCGATGCTCCGTACGCTCCTTCTAAGCGTTGCGATGCCTGGACACCGTTGACTGCTACTACTACGTGTTGCTGCCGACACTGGTACTGCCGCTGCCGCCGCCGACCGGAGTCATCCCCCTCCCCGAGTCAGTCCGGAGTCCGGCATCCCTCAGGCGCCATGCATATCCTCCCCGCTCCGTCCGCCGATCTTTCCCCTTCTTCGTCGCCGTCACCATGGTGATCATCCCTCCTAGAAGAGAGAAAGGCGGCTGGATAAATAGAAATAGAACTATGTGGAGGGAATCGTACAGGACGTTTCAAAATTAAAATCAGACCTTAATTACCGACGCCTCCATCGTTGAAAATTAAAACTTGAGCGCACTCACGTCGAGGGATATAAATGGCCGCCGAGCCTGCTCTCTCCCAGCCGTGCGGATCTCCAATTTAAAGGGAAAACACTGAGTTATACAAGTGACACTGCGATCGTAAAGGAACAGGAATCTAGAATTAGTCTCGTGACGAGGAAGAAATGACGACGACATTAGTTAGGATTGCTTTCAAAAATAAACATTTATTTCAAAATTAATGCTTACCATTAATGCTGTATCCTAAAAACTAAGGTCTCTATCCTAGACACCGAGCGTGTTTAGGTGTTGTCTTAAGATTCCTTACGAGTTTACTGCATTGTTAAGTTGTGTACAATTTTGTATAGTACCGTAATGGGCTTTACAGCGAATCCAAATCCTCGCTGATTCGCGAAATCACATGATACCTTTCCCACGCTTCAAACTTCCAAGAGATCAGAACTCCAAAGATCCCGGGATCGTTCGACACAGAAATTCTAAGAGTTCAGGCTGGATGCAAGAATCGTTAAACTCGCCACTTTGTAATCCATATTTGAGAATTATATATCCGATCATCATATCAACGAAAGAATTCCTATGCCTAAGGATCCCAAGATCCAAACTGGAAAATCCAAAAACCCAAAGATTTAAGGACCCTATAAATCCTTAAGACTTAAAGACCCGAAAATTTAACGTCTTACATCCTAAATGCAACGCATTTATAATGCGTTCGTATCTAATCGATTCGACGAGCAAAATCATGTATACAAAAACTGAGTTGCGCGTTATTTCTTATATCACCAAACTCAATTCAACAGTTCTCACTCTCCAGTATCTCCATAAAGAGTAAAATGATAGTACCGCTAAGTGATGATATCACATTTATGGTTCGGAGTATGCGCTATCGAGGACACATCCTTAAACAGCATCCTTTGTAGATTGTACCAGTTCGCCAAATGACGTTTCCAGACACTGCCGTAGCTCCGCATAACTTACCACTAAAACACTCTGCTCATCTCGAGACATGAGGCATATCTGTAACGACACGTTTTACCGTCATTTTTACGTGTGCATTTTATGTATGTTAAAAAGATTGTCAAGAGCTATCACCTTGTCCTGCGAGCCTGAATCGAGCTTATTCAAGCAAGCTACAACGTGCGCAAAGTCCAACCAGGGCCTTCCATCAGCTGTCACTTGATGGAACACGTAGTCCCTAAACAATTTGAGCATGTAACGATCGCCCGTCTCTGCCCATGTTGGTTCCATATTAAGCTCCGGCCTTTCGTTGATGGTCGCCAGCTTGACCAGTAATTTAAATAGCCGTCCGTTTTCCAATTCCTTGGCGAGTTCATTCTCTAGAACATCCAAACGTAACTGGGCGGCATCCAACTGCGTATAAAACCGCGCACCAATCATTGGCATGAGATCCGTGACACTCTTACGGGGTTGATTTGACAGCAAGTACCTAAAAATTCGCCATGCTCTTTAATTTGTCGCTAGACTAGATCGAGACACTTGGCAGTTTTGCACGCGTATCGTGATATTCGCAACAAACTGATGAGATAAGTACTAAAAATAAGTGCTGTTCTCGTGGATTGATAAATACCACGATTTTGAAATGAAGCTATCAAAACTACCAATTGGCAAGATAAATCCCAGACATACAGGATAAGATTTCGAAGGTCGGTGGAGTAGGAACGTGTGATCAGCTCGATGGAGGCTGACATATTGTCGCGGTGGACGGCGAGTAGACTCCGGCATGCCAGCGCTAAGACCAGCTTGCCGAGTGCCACTAAATCTTCCTGCTGATAATGTGGGATGAGGGTGAGTGGATTCGCGGTGTTCCCATCTAGAGTGACCACGTCTGGAATGGCGACGCAACTCAGACGGAGTCGTGTCCGCGATGTAAGTAGTACCTTGGTGGGATCTAAGCATCTGTACGCCAAACCTGTAAGACGCAGATCAAATTAACGTAGAATTAAATCAATCGAGGGGAAATTGAGGAAAATGCAAGTTCAGGGAGAACTTGGAGACGGGATTTATAGCGTATTACACCGATTCTTTGAGGAAGGCAGGATTATAATACAATGTGCGCTAACCAGCGGCATGAATAACACGAAATGCGGCAGTGAGTTGAATAATGTAGCTCCAAATAACACTTTCCGGTAGCATGCTACTGTGCTGCTGTCTTAGAATAGTGTTTTTGGTATGACTATAAGGCCGTGGCGCGTTGGGATCCGAGGAGAACGGGTCGGTGTAACCGTTCAGCTCCGTCGAGGCGAAATGTTTATTCAGCAATGTCTCCGAGGCAGGGTGATAATCGTATACAAAAACCATGGCTGGAAAGAAACAAGGTCGTTGAGATTGCGCACGTGTGGATAGCGCGCGAAACAAAAACGCGAGTGAAATACGGACAATGATCACCGAACGCCTTTGTGGTAAAGACTTCTCTCAACTGGACCAGATTTGTATGCGACAATCGCTTCCACATCTCGACCAGTACCGTGCACTTGGTGTTGGCGAGCCGAAAATCTGCAAGCATCGAGTTGGATGGAGATTAACTGCCCGACTGGTAACACTATATTACGCGGTAGCGTCCTCCTAAAAGTAAACTTACCATGAATACGACGTAAACAGTATCGCGTGCCAGTCTTGATACTGGTGGCCTTGTACGTGGAAGTTTGATATCCAAGGACCGTCGAGGCGGGCTTGTGGACTGGCTCTAAAGGACATAACTCGTGGTAATTGTCAACCTCGTTGGGCAAGTCGGGAAACCGCACTATATCGGGCTGTGCCAACGTCAACGCGTTCTTCTGCAGGATGTCCAGTCGCAAGCTGTCGCCGACGAAGAAGCTGGAGGCAGCCTGAGGGGGAGGTGTGGAGGGGGCGGACGAATTGTTAGACGAGGGTGGCTTCGTCGTCTTCACAGGCTGCAGATGCGAGGGTGTGCCCGGATAGACGTAGCCAATGTGCCCTGCTGCCATGGGTCCGATCTAGCATTAAAAATAGAGAGGCGAGCCTCGTCGTTATCTCGCCTTGCGCTCGAAACAGGCTAAGAGCAGATGTGCTTACGGCCTCGGTGCCATCCTCGGCTCCAACAGCGTCGCTGCCGGCGTTGCCGAAATAGAAGTATGTAGTGCCACCTACGTTCTCTTGCGAATGAGTGTAGGAGTTGTTAAAGAGATTCGGCGAGCTGCTGTTGCTGCCCGTAAGGACTCTCCCTGGCACGAACTCGGAACTGGCAGTTACCTTCTTCTGCGGCTCCAGAGAAAGACCGGACATGTGCTTGGTCACCGAGTTGGCGCTCACGCCTATGCCGCTCGGGCGATTCTGCGCGCGGTCAATTTGCATAGCATGATTATCGAAAGTAATCCCGTCGAGCCAGAAAGAAAGAGATTATGAGTTACCATGTAGGTAGCAAGCTTGGACTCCATCGGGACTCCGTTTGTTTGAGGAGTGTACGTGACGAACATCGACGTGGGGTCCATCGCTTCCTCAGCCACTGCATTTACCACTTTCGTACTTATCTCCTACCCTTGCCCTCTATATCGTCCTTAATTAAATTCACCACCCACTTGCCGCTCGCGCAAACTTTGACGAGCGTTCTACCTTGGGGCGTCTCTTTCTCCTCGCTTTGCGGATATAAATCGAGGTTCCGACCTCTCGAGCCTGCAACATATCCTCAAACACTATGAATAAAAACATTGGTAGAGTTGTACGGGTATAAATAAGTAAAGTTACTAGACGCGCGCGGACCGATCATTCGTCAGTTACGGAAACCCCTTTGTTAAGCCCCGCGCGTTTGTTTCACAGGACGGAAATCTTCCAGGATCGGAGGAGACTCGTCGGGCGCAAAACAATGTACCTTGACGGCGAATCAATCGGTACACAAGGAAAGTGTGCGACGGTTTATCGGCGGTTTCCTCCCGAAGGCGCGATAGCGCCAAGAGACGGACCGGAGCGGACCCTGCGGGCGAGACGCGAACGTCGCGAGATCGCCGATGCGACGGCTGGCATGGCGAGCGAAAATAGAGAAAGAGAAGGAGAGTCAGCAATGGCAGCTGATTTTGACAACAGGCTGATGGAAGGAGCGCGCGCGCGCGCGCGCGCTCGCTCGCGTGGACGCGACGCTCCGCTCGTCTCGAGCTCGGCGCGACACGCGACGTGCCCGAGGAACGTCCGGCGACGGCGGGCGCGAGCGTAACACATAACCCATCCGCGCTGTCACCGCTCGCCGCTCTCGCCGCTAGCCGCGTCGGCGTCGGCGTCAGCGTCGCGTCGCGTCGCGTCGCGCCGCCGTTTATTCGGCGACGCAAATATCCGGCGCGCGGAAATTCCGCTCGCCGCTGCCGCCGCCGCCGCGAGTCAAACGGACAGACAGATGGACGAACCGTCGCTCTCTTTCCCCCCTCGGCCGCAAAGCCCGATGACGCGCGATCCTTACAGCGAAGATCCGAGGAGCGTGGCCGAGCACCGTGTGTTCACAGCATGCCTCCATTCAGCGGACGATAAAGGAGAAAGCGCACAGTCCACTCCATTTGCTCCGGCTGGCCGTACGTACGTACGCGAGTGCGCGAGCGAGCGAGCGAGTGCGTGCGTACGTGCGTGCCTGGCTTGCTTGCGTACGTGCGTGTTTACGACGCGAGTTCTCCTCTCCCCATTCTCTTCTCCCCTTCCGCGGGCTTCCTCGCCTCTGCCCGTGTATACGTGTGTGCGCGCGTATCGCCGATTCGCCGCCGTTATCCAGATCGCAGTCTCCTTCCCCTGCCTGCCCCGGCCCCTGTGCCGCCGCCAACACCAACATCGCTCGCCCCCCTTTTCGCGAAAGCGTGCGCTCCCGCCAGCCATCGCGGCCCCTTCGATCGCAGCTGTTCCGTGACGCGCGGCCCGCGCTCGCCGCCGAACGAATCCCTACTTACGTACCGGCGAGACAGAGACAAGTAGACCTGGGCGAACCAAGCGTTTACGACTGACTACGTTTCCACCGAGGGTCAGAGTCGGGTCAGAATCGGGTTGGGGTGAGCGTTTTTGCGGTGGAAACACCTAACCCCAACCCGATTCTGACCCGGTTTGGTGTTTCCACCGCAAAAACGCTCACCCCCAACCGGATTCTGACTCGACTCTAACCCGACTCTGATCCTCGGTGGAAACGTAGTCACTGACTGGAACTGACGATAGCAATCCAGCAGGCAAAATAGCATCGTCTGCAGCGAGCTTAAAGCCCGTATCAGACTACGGATTGAGATTGGGATTAGATTGAAATTTGACCAATCGGAGTAAAGCCCGTATCAGACTACGGATTGGGATTGGGATTAGATTGAAATTTAACCAATCACAATAAAGTTTACTAATCTCAAGTGCAGTAACTTTTACTCTGATTGGTTAAATTTCAATCTAATCCCAATCCCAATCCGTAGTTTGATACGGGCTTTAGTCCCAGTCTACAATAGAAATTTAAATCCTATTTTAGTCCCAGTCTACAATAGAGATTTAAACCACTGATGCCAGCCGAGAACGTTTGCCCAGTTGGAGTGGGGATGATTCTTTCGGCCACGCGCGCGAGTGTTGCCATCTTGGTACCTCACGTCCGTAGCAGCAGACATTTCATTCCCCTCACCCTTTGTGGACCACCACCGCGACGCTGTGCACCGTCCAGGTATTCCTACGTCCGTGAGTCACACTACGTTCTTACTACGTCTATGGCTCACGGCGCTCACGCCTGCACCACACGCGGCACGCCACCGGTTTGACCGGTTGAGTTCAACTGCCAGTACTGCCACATGCTTGCCCGTTCTCTTCGCGTGCACACGAGGTTTGGATCGTCGTTGCAAAAAGAAAGTTAAAATAAATCGAGCTGTGAATCGAAAACCAGCGCGATGATCATTCCTGTGCGGTGCTTCACCTGCGGTAAGGTGATCGGCAACAAGTGGGAGGCGTATCTGGGACTCCTTCAAGCGGAGTATACCGAAGGGTGAGAATTTTGATTTCTAACCTAGAAACCGATGTATCTACCATGGATTCGGTGTTTGATTAAGATTAAGGCTGATGGCAGACAACTATCCGTAAGCGCTTAAGACTGACGTAGTCGTAGACTTAAGGTAAGGCTGATGGCAGACAACTATCCGTAAGCGCTTAAGACTGACGTAGCCGTAGACTTAAAGTCTCTCGTAAGGAAACACGTGTTCCACGGCTTACGTTTTTCTCTGCTTTACCTTAAGTCTACAACTACGTCAGTCTTAAGCGCTTACGGATAGTTGTCTGCCATCAGCCT